GGTCGTCAGTTTTGGGGCGAACTGCGGGCTTGCAATCAACGTATAAATTCCTGGCCCGTCGCTTCGAAACAGCGATCAGCATCGCAGCATTAGCCCCACGAAAGGAGGGTGCCCTAAAAGTGTCGATGTCTGAACATCATCAAGTTTACCCTTTTCTTGCGTCGCCAACTAGTATTACCAAGTATAAATGTAAATTTCGAATGACTAAGTATAAAAGTGTACAGCAACGTTGCATTGAAGGCTAAAAGTATTCGATTCTTCCACAATGTAAACCGCTCCCCTTAGTGCGCAGGAAATTTGGACATCTCAGTTTAAGGAAACCATCGTTATTAAAATCAAAGAAAGCACGGTAATGTTTCCACGGTGCCATTTGCCCGTGGAATAAAGGTGATTAGCCTGGATGACGTTTGGTGATATCAGAAAATGGAAATAACACGGCATCCTTAACGATTTGGATATTCCAAATCTAGGAAGTATGATGTAATAATGTTACTCACGTTTTTAGGCCATTAACTTAATCCCCACTGAACAGGCATCACTTTTGATCTTCTAGTAACAGTAGCGATGGCTCGAAATTCCTTGAAAGGGGACGGTTTCCCCTTCGCTAAAGATTTCTCTCCATCTTCTGGCCATATCTTCTGTATTTCTTGGTCGATTTTTGACCCACAAGGTCGCGTTGTCGGACCGTCCGCAACTTGGCACTTGGCTCGTCCGAATTCTTAACACTGGAGTACCTGAAAACTTCCTCTATCGCTTAGTGCCATCATCATTCACGAAGTAGATCGGTCCTTTCGTTGCGAGCTATGTGAATTATTATGGACTACTTTTATGGTACGTACACCTTCCACACATATGCTCTACAAGGTACAAGTGAATATGAGTAGCTCTGTCATTGGTTTGCTTTCATTGCCTTGTTGGCCGACCGTTTCCAAGTTCACCGAAGTTCCGTACGGCTAGTCTTTGAGCTACTACTCTATGAAAATGCGCTGAATACTCTTTGCTGTGCTTTACTCTGACAGGTGATCCTTTGTATTGGTAGGTGTTGCCACCAGTGCCAGATAGAATTCGTAGAATGTCGGGTGAACTACGATAAGGTTTATTGTCTTTTGTCGTTACGAAACAGTAAAGACCAGTTGTGATCCTGGGGGTAGTAGTAAGCTAACGTTTAGCAATGACAGATTTCCTTATGCCTTGAATAAATGCAATCCCTCGGGAAGACTGGGTCGATTGATTGAACACGATGATCAGTGTTGATTCCCGAAAAGAGCGTGATGCGGCTGACCTGCCTTCTAACCGATAGAACTGAGGATGGCATTTTGATTCGACTGCCGACATTTTAGTGGCAACGAATATCTGTGAACCGACTTGATTGCACTTTCGCCCCAGCAAAATAGTCTAACAGGCGAACACGGCGGTTTTTCACCATTGCGTGACGCGGTAGCGTTGAACTCGTCTAACGCAACGAGCATCTAACGTCGCTTACATGTGCTTTGGCATAACAGTTGATATGAGTAACCAAGTCTACGAAAACAGACTGAAAGAGACGATCAGATATACGACGCTTTGGTGGTGCATATCTCTTGTCTCGATGGTATCGCAGCAGACAGCGAGAAAAATTGCTCTCCGCAATACAACGGCATACTGCATTCAGTGAAGTTGGAATGGAGTGGAGTGCAGTGATGAGGGATGGCGAATATTATGTCGTGTCGATGATGCTGATGTTGTCAGGTGACCACACGTTTCACAACGCGTAATGAAACAGCACTGGTCATTCGATCGTCTCGCCGTGTATGGAAGACCTATGAACTAAGAGATGAATTACACTCCGTTATTTTTGACGCGGAAGTTGTTGAAGTCGAAACTAAGTCAGGCGAAGTTTATTGCTATCTGTCGTGATTTCTT